GGAACTGAACAAGAAATTATGTCTGTTTATAGAATTAAAAAAAAGTATTAGCACAAAAAACGAAGCAACTTAAACAACTTACATTGAAAGAAATGTTTAATAAAATAAACAAATAAATATTAAGCTTTTTTTTTTGTAAATTTTGATACCCTTTAGATCATAATTGCTCTTTATTTCATAAATTATGGTTTCATATTTTTAATTTTATAATTTCTGCATTCCATCTTACCAGATTTAAATTGATGATCTATAATCCAGAAAACCCCCTAATCTGGAATCACCAAAGCCTCGACGAGTCCTCATTAAAGACTTTGTACTGTAGTTGCTGAATTGAAATTTCTGCACCTTCAAAGTTACAAGCATTTAAAATAAATAACGTTGTTTCAGCTGAAAATACTATTTTAATTATTCTGTTTTCATTAGCATTTATCTACCATGGAGCCCTGTATAAGGTTTGGGGTTCTTGCAACTGCTGGAACTGAAGAGCTCTTTAACAAATAAAAATATGAATTCTACAAAACCACTGCATTTCACTATCATACCCCAATTCAAGTTCTTGAAAGCAAAACGATGAAATCCATAGCTAGGGTTAAATATTGCTTTATAACACCACAGCTTCATCTCAAAAGTACACCACGTAATTAGTAAGCATTGTATATACAGTCAAAAGTCATTAATTCGGACACCCATAATCTGGACCTCAAAGCTAAAAACTTTCTGCGCATGCGCCGCATTGACACATGCGCATAGGCATTTACGCGTGCTCGTAAGACCTTTACGACTGCGCATATGCGTGTGCGCAAGCACAGAATACGTTTTCGCATGCGCCTTTTATGTATAATGGACGGTATAAGCTAAAATTACCTAATTATCTATTTCAGTTAATGTTGATGATTGCGTTGTTCCTTAATCTTCGAGTTGGATCCGGCTTATCATTTTTTGCAGACTGTAAGAGCAATTTTATAAAAGTAAACTTGAACTTTCGATTATGTCAAAAAGAATTTCTGATGCTGGAGCTCCCAAAGGATCTACAAAATGAAAGTATGTTTCGATGTCCATCAAACAAAAGTGGAATTGCTGCAAAAAATTTATAAAGACATGAAGAAGGTGACAGAGAGGTTAGTGAAAACGAAAAAATTTCGAATGACAAGTTAGTCGGTATTCTCGGCAGAACAATTACGGGACTTGAACAGCGGAACTTTGTAACTGAACAAGAAATTATGTCTGTTTATAGAATTAAAGAGAAAGTATTACCACATAAAATGAAGCAACTTAAACAACTTACATTGAAAGAAATGTTTAATAAAGTAAACAAATTAATATTAAGCTTTTTTTTTTTTTTTTTTTTAAATTTGATACCATTTAGATCATAATTTTTCTTTATTTCATAAATTACGGTTTCATATTTTTAATTTTATAATTTCTGCATGCCATCTTACGAGATTTAAACTGATGATCTATAATCCGGAATCGCCGAAGTCCCGACGAGTCTCCATTAACGACTTTTGACTGTATTACTTTTTTTGTTTGTTTTGTTCTAAAATGACCAATTTATTATCAGTTTTTTTTTTAAATCAGTTACACAGTTTTATCCAAACTACTGAAAAAAAAAAAAAAAAAAACTTTATTGTATATGTATATTTGTTTCAAAGTCATCATATTCAACTGCCACTACCCACTTGCAGCAAAAGGATATTTAAAATGCTATTGGATAAAAGACATTTAAAATATAGTTTCAATGAGCAGAATCAACAAAAATGCCAAAAATAATAATATTTTAGAAATTATGCTCTTTTTAGACCTAATGCGCACTTTTTAAATCTTACAGATGTTTGAAGAGACAATTTTTTTTTTTAAATAATATATTCTCTCATCTATTTTTGATAAATTACTTTCTGCACTATTAAGAAAGAATTTATAGAAAGTTTTGGAGAAAAAAACGTCAAAATAAGCTATTGAATTTTAAAGAAGCAAAGTATTTTTCTGTAATATTCGACTCAACTCCCGCCATTTAGCATATAAACCAAGTTTTATGATATTTTATAATTGAATGCAGGCTGTAGAATCATTTATTAGTTTCTCTGAAACAGCTGGTAAAATGATTGAGAATATTTCATCTAGGATTTTGATGAAATTAGCGAATGATGAAGTTGAGGCTCAGATCTGTAGATGACAAGCACATACAATGTTGCTGTTGCATATGGTCAACATACTAGCATTTAGAGATGAATTAGAAAAACTAATAGAAAAGGAAAATTTGCTACTCATGCAAATCACCCACCGAATCTGGTCAGTGTACAAGCAACTTCTGTTGTGAATTATGCTATTTTTTGGAAATGTGTTCATTCAAATTTCTTAACTTCTCAATCTATTGCAGGAGTATTATGATTTCAGTTGTAAGTCAAAGTGCCAATCATGCAACAGAAACTCAGTGGAATGCACAAAGAAATGCAATAAAGTTCTGAAAAATAATAACTAGAAAATACTCAGTGCTGTAGAACCAGAATTGCTAATTATGATCATTATGATTTAAATAACAAAGACAGATCCCTGGACATCTTCAATAAATGGATCGTGTAACCCATATTTCTATCTTTGTGTTTGTACATCCACCCTGCAGCAGTATGTACAGTCAAAAGTCTTTAATCTGGACGTCCATAATCCAGACCTCAAAGCTGCAAACTTTCTGCACATGCTTAAATGCATAATGTGTTTGCACATGTGCATAATACCTTTACGCATGCACATAATACATTTACGCATGCGCATAATACATTTACGCATGCGCGTTTAATGTATAATGGACGATATAAGCTAAGCTAAAATTATCTAATTATCTATTTCAGTTAATGTTGCAGGTTGCGTTGTTCCTTAATCTTCCAATTGGATCCGGCTTATTTTTTGCAGACTGTTAGAGCAATTTTATAAAAGTAAGCTTGAACTTTTGGATTATGTCAAAAAGAATTTCCGACGAAAGCATATTTCGATGTCCATCACACAAAAAGTGAAACTGCTGCAAAAAATGGATAAAGGCATATCCGGCTAATCTTTGGAATATGGTAACAGGTAGTTTGGCGACATTTTGGTAAGGCAATAAAGGTTACTAGCTACGACTTTAGCAGTGTACATGGATAAAGTCAAGAGTGTGCGCAATTCTGGGATGTTTTTTTAAGTGAAAATAGGTCGACATGTACATGGATGATACCGTGTATGTGCAATTCTTAAAAATGCGGCAAGCAAGCTAGGACTTTAGCAGTGTACATGGATAAAGTCAAGAGTATGCACAATGCCATTTTTGTGCAATTCTGGGACTTTTTTAAAGTGAAAATAGGTCGACGTGTACATGGATGATAACATGTATGTGTAATTCTTAAAAATGCGGCAAGCAGTGGGCGATTCTGCACTTTCTCCCAATTTCGCACCTAATCTTCGTCATGATTAAGCACTTTTGTTCCATAAAAGTTCTAGCATAAGCGTAATTTGGCTACCATATTGTAGGAAAAAAAATTTTGAGTAAAAAAAAAAAATGCCTTTACTTCGTGAAAACAAAATGGCATTAAAAAAAAAACTAGCAGGTTGCTGTAGCAGGGTTGGTCGCCAAATTTTCGCCAAAAACCTGACAAGTTACCATAATCCAAAGATTAATCGCATATCCTTTGTTTCTCTAACCGTTCCGGAATCTGTTTATCAATTTCATGCTGCTCTGGGGAGGGGGATGTCACGGCGCACAATGAATTGGAAGTTGGTAGTAGTAGAGTGGTAGTAGTAGATTTATGGCGCAAAGCTCAATAGGCCATATGCGCCAAACACAGGATTCTTTTTTAACATATAAACTAAAAGGAAAAAAAATATATATATATAAAGACAACAGCACACTTTTAAAATCGAGGCAAGTAAAAAGATATTTAAATGATGGGCTGAAAATGCTGAATATGACTTTGATAATGAGATATGCAGTATAGATATAAAATCCTAAAACATCTGATTAATTAAAATTCCAACATAAAATCTCAGGATAAAAATCAAATTAAATAATAGAAACCTGTTTCCTTGAGGTAGTAAAACAAATTGGTATTGACCTCTCTTCCGATTAAACGGTCGAGAGGCATCTCGCAGCTATTAAAATACTTCTCACGAAGATTATTAAAATATGGACATTCAATTAAAATGTGATAGACTGAAAGACAAACATTACAAGTTGCACAAATAGGCTCGTTCTCAGCTTTCAGAAGGTAGCTATGTGTCACTCTACTGTGATCAATTCTAAGGCGAGTCAAAAGAACTTCCTCCCTGCGATTGCTAGTAGTATCCCAATGAATTGGAAGTGGATCTGTCAGCACTATCCTTATCTTCAGGGCAGATGTTTTTATTTTATTCGGCTTATAATTCCTTACTAAATGTAGTATTTCATCTCGATGTACTCCGTCTTTGATATGATTTAAATCAAATTCCTCGTCATTATAATTATCACGAATACACATCAAATAGTTTTCTGGTTACAATTTTCTAATTTCAACTATGCGTAATGTATGATTTACGCATGCGCGCGTTGAAAGAAATGTTTCATAAAGTAAGCAAATAAATATTAAGCTTTTTTTTTTGTAAATTTTGATACCCTTTAGATCATAATTGCTCTTTATTTCATAAATTACGGTTTCATATTTTAAATTTTAGGACTTCTGCATTACATCTTACCAGATTTAATGATATTTTATAATTGAATGCAGGCTGTAGAATCATTTATTAATTTCTCTGAAACAGCTGGTAAAATGTTTAATAATATTTAAACTGATGATCTATAATCCGGAAAAACAGATAATCCAGAATCGCCGAAGTCCCGAAGAGCCCAGATTAAAGACTTTTGACTGTACTTTATAGCATAGTAATGTATACATCAACTAATTGAATTGTATAACTTATATTTTTTATTTTATGTTTATCTATGTAATTGTACTGTATCACTTTGTATCATATTATAAACTGTTGTATAAATTTCTTACCTTCTGATATCAGCATCCTCTTTGCAGAATATTCCTAACATATTTTGACAGGGACGTAGCTAGAGTGGGGCAAGGGGGGACATCTGTACTCGGGCGCAGAATCCAAGGAGCGCCAAACTGATGTTACGACATTTTAGAATTAAATGTTTTCCATCCTTGGCAAGCAGTAGGGGGCGCGAAATCTTCAGTTGTCCCTGGGTGCTGAAAACCCTAGCTACGACTCTGTATTTTGAGCACCATCATTCTTTGCACTTGCTCCTGTATATAACCATCCTTGCTTTACAGGACTCGGTCATCAGATCAACGGCTTTCTAATCTATACAGACATATCCAGCAACTAAAAAATTAAGAGCATCTCATTAATTAAACCCAAAACTTTAAATGCATATTTAAAATATAATCTTAATTTTAAATGCAAACTAAAAAAAAAAAAAAGACTTAAATCCCCAAAAGAGGTTATTTTTAATCATAAGTCAAACTTTCAACTTATTCTACAAGGGGTAGGACTTTTTTTGCCCAGGTACCCTGATGTGCCATGACACCGTTCCACTGGGAGTAGCAACATTTAATTGAAGATTGGGAAAAAAAAACATGATGGCTTGTTACTTGTTATGTTTTCTTTCTTGGCTTTTAGGAAGCACGCCTTTTAAAATTTACAACACAAAAAATCTATCTCTTAATAATAATAAAATAAAATGCATCAATACATAAAGCCACCCAGATGGGAAAATGGTTAGTGACTCTGACAGCCATACGAAAGAGCCCAGGTTTGAATCTCAGAGAAGGAATGAATGTAAATTGTCTGCTCTTTCACAGGAGGCAATTGTGACCCACTTATTTAGTTGCCTCCATAATAAAGTGACCACCGCTTCCAGCCTCAGTAGTAGCTAGCACCTATAATGGCTAAAGCCTGCCATTGGAAAGAAAAATATATATCGCTTCATGAATTAAATATCACATAAATCTTAAAACTTTAAAATCAGTTTTCATTGAAAATAGTGAAAAATAATTTTAAATTCTGTAATTGACAGGAAGGACATTTTTGACAATCTAGCATTGACAAAGATCATCAAACTAGAAATAAGAGGTCACTACTACTAAATGAAGAATCAGATGTTGACTTGTTATTTGATATTGATTTGAAGAGAGAGTTTTTATTTTATTGGATGGAATGCTTCATGAAATCACAAAATTTCAACAGTAGCACATTTTTGTTCATAGTTCAGGAAAGAAGTCTTCCAAGTTTTATTCTGTTATTGCTATGGTAAGTGAAAGAGATACATTAAAAGTTAATTAAGGCCTATGAATGTTCATGTTTCATTATAAAACACAATGTCTAGAACTAGGTTTAAGTTGTCGTAATGCAACCATAAATTTTCCTTATATAAATACTGTACACATTACTATTTGTAAGACCCAGGGCCGATACTAGAGGAGGGCAAGACAGTGCACAGAACATGGCCTGCAGAATGATAAACATATTGTATTAAATGATAAACATATGTATGATACATTTAATGTATGATAAACATATTATTTCTGCAAAAAAGGGCAGCTAATTTTAATTTGCAAGTGGGCGGCCGATGGTCTAGGATTGGTACTGTTGAGACCAGTTTTATAAGCAAAAAATTTATTCAGAATTACCTAGATTAACAAAAGAAACTTCATGTTTATGACATCTTACTATATCGTTATATAGAACAGCAACTTACTACAATACTGATGATTCACTCAAAACAAAACATGTAAAAAGGGGGACGTGAAGAATCTTCCACTGCTTCGCACATTTTTAAGAATTGCACAAAATTTTAAAGTGTTGGGATTATCATTATAATTGCACTGTTTTAACTCATCTTCCTATATTCTCTTTGGATGCTCTGTAGCATTTCTGGTGTGCATTTAGAACTGATAGACCCCAAAGAATGCAAAGAACTCTGGCTATGACACTGCCTAAATATGGAACATGCACAAAAGAAAAAGCAAGATATAATTATACATTAAACATTAAAAAGTTTTAAATGTTTCATTTACTCACTGCCACTTTTCCACAGTCTTTACACACGTACCATGTGCATTTAAAATATATGCCAGTTCTTCCCACATTTCTCGCTTCATTTGAGCTGTAAATTTAGTTAATTTTGCTTGAACTAAGTCTAGGTGTTTTTCCATATATCGTAAAATCATCCTTTGTAAGAACCCGAGAAGGCGGAAATTATATTTAAAAATAAACAACTTCGGTAGTTAAATACTGTCGTATTCTTACCACCTTGGTGACACCGCGACGTACACTTCGTCAGCCCAAAGAAAGTCTATGTATATTCTTTGGTCAGCCCTCTCTTTTCTTCTAAGCCCTTCTCTTCCTTTTCGACGCGTGTGGACAAAGAATATCTCCTTAGAGATTCTTTGATGTGGAGCCGTCACCACCGGAACAACAGCGGAGATGAAGCGGTGGGGCGAAGATGAAGTTTCTTACTGTTTGCTGTATGTAGTCACTGTCATCTTTTATACTATAAGGTTTGTTGTTTACATTTTTTAATACTAGCCATACGTATTGAATAGTGACATCCTTTATTGAAAAAGCTGTACGCAGCTAAATAGATAACGAAAGTTAAATCGAACCCATCAAATATTTATATGAGTGTTCATCTTTCATACCACTGCGAAGTTCTGCCATAATGTATATTGATGCATATGTGCCAGAGTAAATCTGAGCAGATATTTTCTTGTATGTATTTATTGATCAGGGTGAAAAAGTTAAAAATCTAATACGGACTAATTGGGGGGGGGAAATGTAAATTTTAAAATCAGCCAAAAAACCTCATCGTTGTTTGGCGTTGATTTTCAATAAATCGGCTGTTTCTTTTCGGGTGCGATCAGACAGAAGTCCTTTTTCCACAGGAGAAAAAAGTGTATTTCCTTCCTTTATTTGATATTTTAATTATCCGCAATGAATTTGATTTCAGCACCATTGTTTACTATAGACCTTTTTCTGTTTGTTTGCATCCCTATGCTAAATACAGTGTCTCACAAAAGTGATGGGACACTTGTGCTTTACAAAAGGAAACTGTAATATAATAAATTAAAAAAAACATATAAACATTTTTTGTGGGTGTGTTTCATACTTAAATTTAGTAAAAATTATTACATAATATACATTTTCTCAAAATATTAAAATATTAATTTAAAAAAAATACAATTGTTTAGAACGGAGCAAAAAATGGCTCACATAAGTGATGGTACACCATTAGATACTACTACATACTACAATAAAAATATTTTTGGGGTTTTTTATTTTTACTCAAAAGCAATTGGCAATAATTTATAAAATCGTCTGCAGTATTTCTCTCCAGTTTGATTTGGAATTTTTGTGTTTTTTTAGCTCTGTGCAGCCATGAATGCTAAACGAAAAGAAACTTTGCCTGAAATTCGAAAATTAGTTATTAATTTGCATATTGAACGTGGAAAATCTATTAGAGAAACTGCTGAAACAGTTAACTTGAGTCATTCAACAGTTTTCAGTATCATTAAACGATATAAAAATGAATCATATGATTCAGGATAACAGAAGACCTCGCCGACCATCAAAAGCTATCCTAATGGAATAAAGCGAATTATCGTTCTAAATATTAAAAAAAAACTCCAAGAATGAGTGCTCCTATAGTTGCTGCTGATTTACAAGCATTATATAGAGTAATTGTTAATCCTGAGACTATTAGAAGAGTAATTCGATCTGCTGGATATCACGGTAGAGCAGCCAGGAAAAAATTCTTCATAAGTGAAAAGAATAGAAAACTCAGACTGGCTTTCGTAAAATCCAACATAAATAAGAATTCTGATTACTGGAATGAAGTTATATTTGCTGGTGAGAGTAAATTTAATATATTTGGTTCTGACTGTAGAATCTTGGTGTGGAGAAAACCCAGGGAAGAATTTCGCAAACAGAACTTGGTGCCAACAGTAAAACATGGTGGAGGAGAAGTTATGGTATGGGGGTGTATGTCATCCGTTGGAGTTGGTAATCTTGTTTTTATTGACAGTATAATGGATCAGTACAAGTATATTAACATTTTAAATCAAAATTTGAAATCTTTAGCACGAAAATTGAACCTTCATAACGATTTTGAATTCTACCAGGAAAATGACCCCAAGCACACTGCTTTGAACGTTAGACTCTGGCTGCTGTTTAACTGCCCTGAAATAATAAAAACACCACCTCAATCTCCAGACTTAAATCCCATAGAGAAAAGAATTGGAATCAAGAATTTGCAAACACACCATTTCTTCAAAACAACAATTAAAATCGGTGCTTCAAGAAGAATAAGGTAAAATCACTCCAGAAATCGCAAAAAAATTAGTCGAATCCATCCCAAGAAGATTAAATCATGTTTTAAAAGTAAAAGGAAATCCAATAAGATATTAAAACCTTTTAAAAAGTAAAATTTTTAGATAAATATTTGATGGAAAAGTAAGTGTCCCATCACTTATGTGAGCCATTTTTTGCTCCGTTCTAAACAATTGTATTTTTTATTAAATTAATATTTTAATATTTTGAAAAAATGTATGTTATGTAATAATTGTTACTAAATTTAAGTATGAAACACACAAAAAAATTTTTACATGTTTTTTTAATTTATTTTACTACAGTTTTCTTTTGTAAAGCACAAGTGTCCCATCACTTTCGTGAGACACTGTATGTCAACCTGGTAAGCAAAAAAAAGAGGCATCTTTTTATTCTTTTGTATATCGTGCTCTGAAAGTTTGTTCTTCTGAATCTTTCTCATGCACTCAATTATCTAAAACCATTTGCCATTGACAGACAATTTTCTTCTTGCATGGTCATTGATAAAGCCTTTAATGTACATGTATATGTTGTTTTAGTATCAAGAAAGACATTCCGTTATTAGAAATAATCATAATAATCTTGTTAACATTTCATTTCATCCATTTGTCCATTGTATAATTGCTCAGATCTCTAGAAGTTCAGCTGTCAGGTTATTTTCTCACCTATGAGTAAAATTTATTACCAGATCCCATCTCTGATTTAAGTGTACAGAAAATTGATAGCGTATTTTGTTAATATGATTTGACATACACCATTAAAATTTTACATCAAAGATCATGAATCTTTTCTTTGAAAAAAAAGGAAATGAACAAAACTTTCATAGGTAGTAATGGGGACTTAATCTCAGTTTTGATTCAAATGCTACAAAAATTATCCATAAAGCATCTTCAGTTAGTGAATTGTATTTCCTTGAAGTTTTCACATTTATTAAAAAAAATTAATGATATTAATTCTAATCCAATTCTTCCTAAAGCTTTCAAAATATTAATACCTTAGCTTTTTACTCTTCATTAATAGATGCTGTGTTAATTTTTGCTTTCCTGTGTTCATTGCTTTCAATATAAAATGGTTGTCACCCATACCATCTTTGCAAAAAAAAATTTTTTTCGTGAAAAATGGAGATCTATGGCTGATCACCCTTGAAACTGATAGTATTTTATTCAGTCTGTTTTGTAATTCGTTTGTAGATGCCTGGATGAAGGCAAAATCCTATTTGAACATATCTTTGCAGTGTTGCCTGATGGTCATTTTATATTTAAATATATTATTTTAAAGTCTTATACTCGAGTTTCATTCGTCTCCGTTTAACTAAAATTTTAATTTCAGCACTTCACCCTTTCCCAAGAGAAAGAAATTGTCATCTGGGGTCAAAACTTTACAGAATTGTAGGGGTTAATTGTGGCATGTTAGCCCTGGGTAAAATGCTAGTATACGGTGCAGCCTTGGCACGAGTTTGAAAATTATCGCCAACACCAAAATGACCCGTTTACTGCTCATCATAAAGTAGCCAAATCCTTTGTGCACCGGATACTAGGATTAAACCTAGCCCTGAAGGACATCCGTCGCTTCTTGTTCCCAAACCATAGAATGCAGCGAAAATGAAATGAGGTGATTGATGGCTAATTTGATCATGCTGTCTGCAGTTGGGCTGTAATAACATTCCACAGAAGGAAAGCACACTTACAAATGCAGGAAATAGGAATGCACTTAAGGTCCTATTTCCCGCATTTCTTAGTGTGGGTCTCTTAGGTCTCTTAGTGTAATCACAAAAACGGTTGATTTGAAAGCATGCTTTTATTCTTTAGGATATCATCTTTGTTAATTTCAGATAAAAGACTAAGGAATGCAAGAGAAATTTCCCCTCTGGATTAGGATACAAATAGGTTGTTTTCGAAATAAATTTTCACAGTTGGTGAAAGGAGGGAAAATATTTCTAAGGCCCATTTCAGATGCAAACCAAAATTTATCCAAAAGTTGAAAAGGAGCCCCTAGGAGGCCAAAGGGGTTGAAAAATCGAAATAAGAGTTTCGAGGTGTATCAAATGATAAAATTGTTTAACGGTGTTTCTTCATGAACAAAAAGATATATTACAACCTATATTTACAAAAAATTAAATAGGGTCCCTTACAGTCCTCAATAATCTAAAGTGTGTGTGTGTGTGGGGGGGCAATTCTTGGTATTATAGCATGGTCTTTTTTTACATATTATCTAAAGCATAAAATATAACTTCAAAATTGCAACATTCTTTCTCAGCTGAGTCATAGTGTTTCATTTTTCAATTTTTTTTATTTTTCGCCTGAGTTATATCTCCTTGTAATATTATACTAGTTCAATTATAGCACGATACGGCTTAAGCATGCAGCGTTATATTTGCTAATTTTTTTTATAAAATAATAATATTGAATTTAAATCGAGCTCAAAAGCTTTCTACCCATATTTTACATAAGTATATTCCACTGGGTTGCATCATCAAAGTACATAATTAAAATTTTAAATTTCTAGCGAATTTTAAAAGTTTTTGTCTTCAGACTTACATAACTATATTCAAGCACCCATCTCTACAGACGCACATCAAAAGTAAAGCATATTAAAAGCAAAATTAATTTTAAAAACAAAAATTAACAATTGGCAGCTACTTGAGAAAAAAATGTCTTAGAGGGGCGTCGGTATAAAATATGTGCTGGCTCTCAAAATTCAGGATTTTGCTCTAGATGTTTTTCAATTTTGTGTCCTTAGGGTCCATAAGTTATAATTCATGCAAAATTTTACCACAATTTAAATTATTTTATATACTGCCCCTCAGAGGATTAAAGAACAAAAATTAAGAATTGGCAGCTACATTGGGGGGGGGAAGGGAGGTAAATATGTCTTAAAGGGGCAGTGGTATAAATATATACCAGACCTTCAAAATTCAGGATTTCACTCTAGATTTTTTATAAGCCTCAATTTTGTGTTCTTAGGGTGCATAAGTTGCTGTTCGTGCAAAATTTTCCCACAGTTTAAATTCTTTTATATACTGCCTGTGAAAGGTTTAAAAATGAGTTACCTTACAAGCTTTAAACCATCATATTTTTATTTGTATTTGTTTACTGCCAAGAATTATGTTTTGAACCAGTGATTCTCAACTTTGTTTTGTCGCAGCACACTTTTTACGATTTCAAAATTTGGTGGC